AAACAATTATTTCGAACCATTGGTTCGCCCGAAATAATAATATAGCGGTCGAGGTATTGGCCGAAACGTGTACGCTTGCCGCCGATTTCCTTCGCAGTTTTTTCGATTCGTTTTTCGACCCAACCGCTCTCGGACCGTGTTGTCGAGTTTCCAATCTACGCAAAAAAAATCGAATGGAAAGGTCTGAGAAACGAAAACGGCACGTGTAGTCGAAAATACTATAATATATTATTATAGCTCCCTCGCCACATACGCTATGACTATACACGGTTTCAAAATATAAAAACGGTTACAAGCATGACGCAATAATATACTTATGTACTATTACAATAAAAAATAGACGCGATATTATTTTATTTTAGTAAATGATTGAGAGCGTGCGGCAAAAGCGTCCCGAAAGGTTCACTTTAATGTAACTGTTGGGAATGATTTTCGAAAAACACTTTTATGGTTTAAATTTTTTTTTTTGAAAATAATACTTATTGACAATATTCTGAGTTCCCTGAAAGATATTAGATATGTATAGCAATTGTTGTAAGCTACTCATATTATTTATAACATACATTATATAAAAATGTGATGAACTTGATCTGACGTGGACTTGTATAGGTTTTACCCTACAATTATCATTTTTTGTTTCTCGTGAAAAAATGTAATCACTATATTATTTTAACTTTCACAAAAGACAAAACTATGCTCGAAATTAACCAAATTTTGGAATGTATGCGTACTGCTATCATTATACTTACCACTCATATATGCTTATTATGTAGGTATTAGAGTGCGGCCATTTTTTTTAACAAAAACTAGAGAAGTCTGTAATTATTTGGTTTTCGAATCAATTAATTATTTGCCATAAAAACCATAAGCCATCTTGTATACAACGGAGTAATCTGGTGAGTGCACCCACTTGTAGGAATTTTTTTTCTCTGTTCTATTTCCTGAAAAAGTGCTGTTTTTTTGTCCAGAAAATGTGATGGACACATTTGGATTTTGCAGAAAGCACTTAAAACGGTGTATCCACCTCGTTTTTTAGTTAAAACATGGCAAATGACGATGTGTAATACGTTACATGTCGACGTTATTATTACGGCTGCTGGCTCGCATAAATCACATTACAATATTATAATATGGCACATCGATCATCTGACGGACACTGCACCGACCGCTTGTCCTAAACGTAGGCAATAGGTAGGTGCCCACACATTTTTGTCGCATTGTGTATGCCCATCGAAAACACGACTTACACAGTTACACGTCATCCATGACCGTCTCGGATGTATACAGTATACGGGATGATTGTTGTAACATTTTTAAATTTTTTAAATATTTACAACTACCCATAGCGATTTTGGAAGAATATAATAAATTCGTATTTTTTTCCAATGACAGCAGTACATTTTCGATTTCATATTCCAAAGCAGAATGTATGTAAAGATATTTCGATTAATGAAAACAGGATTTTAAATCAGCTGGTAGTTCATTTAGTTATAATAGTTTATAACTTATAATTCAATTAGCGTTATAAATGCACATGTGCCGAATGGAGTACCGCAGGTCCACCTCGTAAAATATTGACCCACTACTCAGTACTTAGGTCACAATAATAATCCTAAATACTTTGAATTCAAATATTATTATTAATTATTAGTTCATGTTTCGAATTTTGATTTTCGAGCATAATAATTCGGAGAAAAATAATCTGCTTCATTTTCTGAAATCAAATTTAAAAAATGTACTTATTAATTAGTATTATCATTTAAAAGTAAAAAAAAAAAAAACTTGAAAAACAAATAGTTAGTAAGAATAAATACATTTTTTCTTTATGAACTTTGTGTTTTCATGGCTTCAAATATTATAATAGAAACAAAGAAGTTCGGAAAACTCACTCTACGAGCGTGCTGAATTGACTATTTCTAAAAATAATTTAATACACAACGCAATAAATATTATAATTCCATTTAAAATGTATGTACAGTAACTGAAAACAATAAATAAATACTTTAATTTCAACAACCAAAATTATGAACTGGTAACTAATGGGCGGGCAGACGAACAAACGGACTCGGAGGGAACATGGGGTGACATGTTTTACGAATAGGAAAGTGGTCATTTGGACGTCAAAAAAAATATAAATAAAATAAATAATATTATTACTATATTTAATATTATAATTTTTAATAGATCATCATGAAAATATATTAAGAAAAATTAAAAAAAATTAAAAATTAATAGTACGTACCAGTACTGGTTCATTTATATGTGTTTATAAATTGTAAGACCGATATTATATATGTTCATATAATATAACTAAATATGGTACAGTAATATTAGTATTCACACACGTGTTCCATAACCCTACAGTAACCCATCAGTCCCAAAAACTCTACAGTACCACAACCTAATGACCTCAGTTGCCGAAGCTTAAATTAAAAAAAAAAAAAAAAATATTAGTATTATTATTATTGAATATTACCTAAGTATTATCTATAGATTGAATTTTATCGTTTTGGCAATAACCTATACAAACAACAATATAATATTTAACTTATTGGTTATTACAACCGTTTATCACACTTTACCGAAACACGGCAATACATGACAATACACCACTTATAATCGTGAAAGTCGTGTACAAGTGCACATATACATGTAAAATGTCGTTAATTAACTCAAACCGCGTGGTGAAGTTTTTTTGGGTGACGGTTTCATGTACATATTCAACGCTTTTAGTTCTGATGGATTAAAACGGTTTTGACGATGTAGATGTAAAAGAGAATGTAAGGCTCTCGTGCATACTGGTAAACTGACTTAATTATTCTTAAGCGTACGATCATACGATGTTTGACATTCAACAATTCTTTTAGATATTCTATACAATAAATAATTTTGCTTGAATATTTTTTACACATTTTTGACGTATGGTAATGAATATTATAATCAGTATAAATAACTTTTTTTGAATTGTATTTTAATTGCTGGCGTACCTATAATTAATTTGTTTTAGAAATATTTTTTATTTTTATATTTCATATAATAAATAATTTGCATACTGAAATATTTTTTATTCATTTTCGACGTATTATAATAAATATAAATAACTTAATAATTTTATTTACTGATTTATAATTTTTTTTTTTTTTTTATGTCCAATATTGTCCCCAAGTCTAAACGGCCACGACCAAACAGTTACGTTCATTTGTCCTAGATCGTATGTTTTAGAAGCCTGAAACTCGTTAGTTTAAATGTGGAATTACTGTAGAGGGTTTATTTTTATAGTATGGATATACCAAATTAATCGTTGAGCTATTATGACTTTTGGTTAGGAGCTAAGAACAAAAAACAAAAAAAAAACTCTAAAGGGATAAAAATATAATTGCCTTTAACGGAGCGGAAGCCGTCGACTGAAGTGATCGCCAGATGTGACGTCGCGTATTTATCCAACGATCGGCACTCGCTGCCATCACAATAGACCCTCGGATGACGAAAATTAAACGTCAACGTTTCGTGACATTTTCAGGACCCTCTGTGTTCAATCGGACGTGTTAGAATCATTACGTGTTATAATATCACTATAAATTACTGCCATAATATCATGACATAATATTATAATGGCAATCGTCGCCGGTAACCGATTGGAGTTAAACACACACCGCCGACAACAGATCCGTAGTTTAACTGTATAATATAATGATATGGACATTCGAAACCAGCAGGCCGGGTCGCAGTGACCGTAAATAATTTCTCGAGGGAAAAAAACCGGAATAAGGCAATAAGTCGAATGGAATCGAGTGGACACCGGAAGACCCGAAAGTCTCGACCGGCCCAGCTGGCCATCTGCTCGTCTGCACGATTATATAATATACACGCGAAAGAGGGAATGCGTTTTGGAATTGATCGACTGGGAAAACTGAGCAATTACGTGGTCGACTTAAATAGCACACGAACTTTGCCAATATCGCGAAATGTCGGCGGTGGCACTGCAAAAGTTCAGTGGCCGTCGCACGTAATCGGTCCATCGTCTGTTGTACTTGTACAACATAATTTGTGCGATTGTCTGCACACGCGGTCATCGCTCGCCTGAACTTTTGACCCGAGGCGGCCTATGAATAACGATTTTCAAAAAATCTCTCACCAAAATTAGGCTCAGCGTTCCGAGAGAACTGAGGAAAAATCTAACTTTGGCTAGGCATTGTGCAATAGGTATCCGTTATCTCGGTACAGTTGAAGCGAATGGCGATTCATGTGCAAATATGTTTACGAACTGATTTTGTTTAAGATTATACCAAACTCATCATAATGATAATAGTGAAGTCGGTTAAGACACACGCCCCACATAAGCGTCGTGCTCCTCAACCTTAACCCCCCTACAACATTTTAATGGCCATATTGTATAGCCGATGCTCAAGACCAATAGGAAAAAATAAAATAATATTATTCAAAAAATATACAATTAGCTTCAGCTATAAGTTAAATATTGATATTAATATATATTTTTTCAACCTTTTGTTCGTTCTAAATAATCAGATTACCCAAATTAGTTAAGACAACAAAAAAAAGGTTGATGTATGAAATATCTGTCGGAGAGAACGGCCAATTTATTGCCGATATCGAATTCCTTAAAAACAGATTGTATCAAATCCTCTTAATCATTTCAATATCCAGAATTTATTATGGAAAAACAAATTAAAAAATATTTTCCATGTTCAAGAATTAATCATAAGCTCATACATAACTATGTATGCTTAAACGTAAGTCAATAATATTATTTTGTAATGTTCATACTTCATATTATTTAGGATTATAACTAATAAGTACTTACATGCATTATTTACGTTGCTATAATTAAAACTGCATTTAAATACATTTTCATGCTACTCAAACAATTGAAAAGGTTTAGCTAACGTACTAAATATACACAATTTATACATTTTTTTTTTTAAGTTCAAATATAGTAATATAATTTTTTTTTTTTTAAATCGGCACTCGAAATGTTTCAGACGTAGCGATTAACAAACCGTGTTTTTTCAACGAGCAATGTGAGAACCTCGTATTCCAAACAGAGTGCAGAGATGATGTTTGCGCTTGCCGGTTCGAGAGGACTCCGGTGTTTCAAACGGATGGAACAGTCCAATGTATTGGTAGGTATTAAGCATATTGTTTTAATATCCTATCTGTATAACATTACAGATAATGGGTTAAGAATTGAAACAAAAAAAAAATGTTTGAATAATAATCATGAACCGCGATTTATGATTAACAATATAGGCGTAAGCTACTCTTTTTTAACTCAAAACTTTCATTTTTTCTATATATTTTGATAAAAACTTTTCCAAACAATTGTCACTGCCTACATAATATGGTATTTCATTACGCTTTTAATTATTATATAATTTAATCACTTTTCAGGTTGTAACATTTTTGGTATATACTTGCCATTTGTACATTAATTTAAAAATATAAATTTTGCTTACCAAAATTAAGTACTTGATGCACAAATTATGATATTTCTTAATATTTTTAAAATACATTCAAGTCGACTGAAGAATTAAAAGTAAAAAGTACTCTAATCGCTGTATATGAGTAATATTCGAATGTTTCATTCGTTTTACTTAGATTGAAGACAGCGTTAAAATACGTTAATCGCTTCTGTAAAAAAAAAATACCTGATTATTTTTATTTATTATTTTCAAAACAGAATTAAATATTTTTATTTCTTTACGTATATTGTTATACCTACTACGTTTTTTTATTTTTTATTTTATTTTTAGCCAAGAACAATTCCAACTCCGAACCTTATACTGATCCAGCAATGCTGTGCGTGTTGGCTGGGATGTGTTTAATGTTCATAATTATATGCGTTGTACTGAGATTGTTTAGCAAGTAAGAGTTTTATTTCGTAAATCAAATGCTTGTTTTTTATTCGAACTCCATCACACACTATAATGATTGATCTATGTCAATGTCATACTACCGTTATGCGCCTACAATAGTAATCTTTATTACTGTGTCATAATCAGTATAATCACTAATCGTGAACAATAATTGACCGGCTGGATACATTATTATGATAAAATTAGTAATATTACGAAACGATAACATGCAAAATTATCATGATAGACATGACACGCGTACAGAGGAGTCACAGGTGTTTAAAACATTTTTCTTGCACTCGACTTATTTGGATTTATTCCTAAGTGGATGTTTAATGTGACTACTAAAATCCAAGTTTTTAAATCCAATTACATGGCAGCGATAAAATATTTTGAAAACATTTCCACGCAAATTTTCCACCGCTAAATTTAAGCTATATGTATGTGAAAACGTAGTTTAGCTGTGAGGGTAATAGTCGTATTTTACAAATCCGTAATGAAAAAGTCGACCTATAATAATAGTTGTTGTCACAGTTGTGAGGACGATAAATACCAAACTTTTAATATTTAATAGTATAATCAAACTACGCAGTGCATAAATTCTATAAATCTCCGTCCCATCCGCATTTCTAATAAATAATAATAATAATAGAACCACCGAGTTAACTGTTTTCTTAGTAGAAGAGTGGTACTCGAGAGTATCGAGCTGAGTGAACCACTATTTCGGGTGTCTTTATAGTCTTAAGTAATATAATATGTATATTGTATAATCATTGTAGTTGTTAAAATTATTTAGTTACAAAAATAGACAATGCTCTAATGCAAACCTAATAGTTGTTTGAATTTTCGTTTTATTTTCAGAAATATTTTATTATTCTGATTTTTTTGAAAATAACAATATACTTGTTCAAAGTATATGAAGTCTCAACAAGTGCTTGTATATATCCGTAGATACTACATGTACTTTCAAGCTCTTCATTGCTTCAGAAATAACTCAAAATTAATTTTTAAAAAACACACACACATCCCTCTGTATTCAACCATACGAGTGCTCCCCTCGCGCCCCGTTTTAACTTTTAAAAAAAAAGGGGTAACCGTTCAAAAATAATATGAGCGATATCATCGATTTCCCACGTTTGTGAAAACATTCGAAAATGATTTAAAATTGAAATAACACAATGACAATAATACAACAACAGGAATGATTTGCGTGCCGCGCTATTATTATATTATATTATTATGTTATCGTAAGAAAAGAAATTAAAAGCAATAATAACGGTCGGCAATAACAATTATCACTATTATAAGAGCAAATACAGACTGTTTTCGGATTTTATTTAATTCTTCTGTTTCGATTTAGGGCACGTTGGAGAGAAAACCGTACGATATTCAACACGCCCAACCCGAGATTGATGAACGTGTCGCTACTGAGAGACAACAAACCACCGTCCGGAGCAGCCGGCGAACGTAGAGGTAGCAAATCCAGTACAAAGACCCATTCCCCTTCGAGACAACCAAGCATGGCCTCGTTGAAGCCCCAATCGCCTTCTTTAGGTTAGAAACCTCTATCTCTATCTATATAAAGCTTCTTCGTCTACTCCGTGGAGATCGTTTATATATACGCGACACGCCATATTATACGGTCTTTGAATCTCCAACACGCTGTTGTTGCCTAATTGATATCATGACAATAATATGCGAATCGTCCGACGTGCACTTTCGCAAAAATCATATTGTTTTGGACGAATCACGATGAATATCTTCGAAATGAAATCTCTGTACCGAAAACATCCTACCTACTTTAATATTATGTTTCCCGGTCGTAAAATGAATAATAATATTAAAATATACGACGACCATCGATATCCCACACGTATATAATAGTTACGTAAATGGATTCTAAATTCTTATTCATATTATGGTAATATATTACGCGATCACCCACTGCAGCATTTTCGTTATCGTTTTCTACTGCAGTCGTCTTTGACTCGATTTGCGACCAATGAAATATTATAATAATCTTCATCGTTCGACTAGGTTGTCTCGATAAAAATATTTTCATCCACCAGACCGGACGAAACGTTTCTCAAACAACAAAAAAAGACGTCACGTCAATATTAACGCGTTTTAATTAATAGTTTTCGGAATTTCTATTCGTGTTGTTGGCTTTGGACAAACAATACAAACGTTCCCAACACTGTATACGCAGACAGTGGCCAGACATACATATGTTATATACGAATGGCCGATACAGGCTCGCACTGGTTAATATGTTTGTTCGCGGTTTCCGTGATTACCGCGGTATCGGTTCAGAGATGATTTTGTACTGATTTTCGTTTTCGAGACACTGCAGTCTTTCTGTACAGGAGATATTTTCACGAAGGTATTTATTTTGACCGATCGCCAAACGATGTACCCAATCGATTACACGAGTTCTTGAACTCGATCAATAATAATTATATAATATGTTCGACGAAATTATATAGATTAAAATTATTAACCGTCGGTCGTTTCATTCGTCGTGCAATATAATATTTGATTGATATTTTATCATATTATACTGTCGAATTAACGTCGACAAATATTCACACGCTTCCGTGACGTTTCAAGGTGGAATTCAAAGTACAGAATATGATAACACGATAAAAAACTTAAAGTGCATCAACAACACATTTGCTTGCAGGACACACTAACGAGCAACGTGTCACTTTTTTTCACACAATACAATGTATATATAGGTGCTGCAATTTTGTTGCGATCATTTTTATACGACCGACATATTTTTTAAACCCGATATCATAATAATATAATATTATTGTTTCCTCAACATTGATTTCATAAGCGTTTTTCAGTCGTTCAAACTAATGTATCGTATATACTTCACGTCGTAGACCATTTTTCGGGACTCGTCGTCGGGATTTCACTCGACGTAAAACTATTTCTACGATCAGTTTCTATTTTATGCGACTCTCCGCCACGATTTGTGTGAAACATCGCTAAATATCACAGTGCTTTTATACGACGTATTTATATTGTGTATTTTTAATTTTTCTTTTTTTTTTTTTTGAAACACGTCCAATAGTCATCGTTTTCGTACACTGTAATTTAGAGGTATTATATTATATTATTGTTATTGTTATTATTGTTATTTTTGTTGTTGTTGTTATTATTATTATTATTACTATTATTATTATTATTATTATTATTATTATTATTAAATAACAGCACACTTGAATAGTATTACACCGATAACTTACTACCACTATTACATATATTATAACCGTCTACTGTAATATAATAATATAGTAGTATCATCTATATTCAATGATAAGTAAATTCGAAATAAGTTATACTCTTGCGAAATATTATTTTCTACTTACTTCTATAATATTGCGTTTGTACTAGTATTCTATTGTTCGTAGATTAATTCGCTAAAGTAGGTTAGGTTAGCTATCGGAGTCGCGATGCCCATTGTACATGGGTATACGTGCATATTCCTACATAGTTCTTCTTGATTTATCTGTTTGCCCACTAATTTCTGGAAATTTAATATTCTATTCGACATGAAAACCGAGTCTATTGTGCTTTTTGATTGAACACGTCACATGTTCTGTGTTTTATACCGTTTATATTATAAAGTATATCACTTAATGATATGTAGATGACTACCTACTTAATGTTAGGCTAAATTGTACTTTTGGTTGTGCTTTTTTTAACTTTTTTTAACAGCACTTACAGAAATTCAATTAGGGATTAAAGTAAAAAAATAAAAAACTGTTTTAGGTACATGTTAGAATAATATTATTGTATTTGAAGAGGAGCCTTTTTCTTTAATCTGCTGTTATAACATATTATTATTGTCTCATATTGTTTAAAAATATTAGTTACCCTCCAGCATTTTTAGTCATCTCAGACTAACACTAATGATCTTTTTTTTTTTTTTTCTTATACAAATTATAATTACTATTTGAACAAAAATATTTTAACATGACATGCACATTGTACTCTATACGCTCTTTGTCCATGATGTACTAAGAGTGTTGCCTTCTAGAGTTAATAACTGTACGTATATTATTCATACTACAAATTATTTTGAACATTGTTTTAATGATATACCTAAAGATCATTTAAAATCCAATGTGCATTCAAGTACAGTAAAAATAAGGTTTATTAAAATTCTACAAAAGATAGTACCAATAGATTTTTACGAAGAACTCAAAATTCAACAACAACACAATACCACACTCATGATACTTTTCAAGAGTTATGACATAAAATATTAACATTACTTCTTATGCCCTAATGCTCTAGACTCGGTTTAAACGTAAACAGATCTCCTCAAACATTTATATTTTTCTTTTATTTTACATTTTATCACTTCTCCATAAATAGTTTATGTTGTTGTATAGTATTAAAACAGTAGGACGTACTGCATGAACACCCGTTTATTCTATACCGTAGAACACCGGATATCCGAAAAATATTATATTATTGATTTCGACTTTTTTCAACCATCGTTCTCGACACACATTTCAACTATTATACATATATTATATACCTATACCGAGTAAAATGATGTGTATCAAAAAATAAACGACCTGTTTTTTTTCCTATTGAAAAATGTCAAGGTCGCGGAGTTCGGGGCAACAACAACGGCGGCAACGCGGAAACCGTAAGGTCTCCGACGACCAAAAGTCCGGTAGCACTTCCGGCGGAATCAAAACCATCTGTGGCTGTGGACATACAGCCCGACGTATGAATCTTGACATCGAACAACATCATAATAACAATATATATTTGCGTCGAGTCACCGTGTACTAATGCATAAGACCGGTATCGGGACATCGCAGACAATGATTTTATTTTTAAACAAAGTTATTCTTCTTCTTTCTACTTTATCCGCAAATGGGCTTGATTGCTTTTGGGACCACGGCTAATGGTTTATTGATTTTTAGATAATATTCAAACATAATAATAATATTATGCATCCAAGCATATAATATTATTATAAATATATTATACATTATTATGATTTTTTAACATCTCATTTAAAAAAAATATATATATATAATATAATATATATGTATAGATAAATCGCAATAACTGCGTGCTATATTTTTTAAATTATTTTAATACTTGGAATTCACGATGCTTAGTATAATATATAGGACGAAGCACTTGGCAATACTAGCCGAGATCAATTCTTCACACAGTAAAACTGTTTTACAACATGAATTTGTATTACTTAAATATTTAAAATATAATAATTTAACGTACTTATTATAATATAATAACTATGCTATGAACTCTGCATTCATATAAGTATAATATATATAATATACATATAAAACATATTATACACAATATAATTACATAATATTTAATTCTTAGACTCACGAAATTTTAAAATATTCGTAACTATAACTATTACACTTTTTTTATTAAATATAATATCATTATATAATTACTTACATATACGACGTATCATCCATCAATTAACAATGTATAGATTTTTTTTTAATTTCGTTTAAGTAATCTATAAGTACCTATTGTAAGTGTAAATTTAAAAACTTTTTAATATTAAAATAATTATATTATATATATATATAGTGCGTAATTTCGTTAGTAGGGTAGGTAATCGTTTTAATAATTATAAATAATAATAATATAAGTATGACAAGACATTTTTTATTCTTTAGATTGTAAGTTAATATTATACATAAAAAATAATAATATACATAAAAGATAATAGTGTTAGGATGTATTACATGTATTTATTTTTATAAATGCATTTCAGAAAGTCGATATGGACTCACCATTATTTTTAGCCGTTTACAGGGGTGTAAGGTGGATCTCGAGACTTGAGAAAACAGAGGGAAGGTTTTCTCGAGTTCAAAAACGCCTTAGAACTTGTAAGCGTAAATTTAAAATAAAAATAATGGTTTTTTCTTACCGCTTTTCGTCATTGTAATTATTATTGCCATCAATAGATATTAATTTTATAATATTACCTTTAGAATAAAATGGTAGATGTTCAAAAATATTCAAATTACATATTTTATTTGTCCTTAAGATTTTACCCTAGTGTATTAATTAATAATACTTGTTCGCAATAAACTGCTCAATAAATTTAGACGTTTCAAAAGAGCAGCTTGCTTTTATAAATGTAATATTATGTTCACGTTACATTTTTTGTCCCTTTGTGATAAATACTAAAACTTTCTATTTAGTTACTTTACATGTCAAATTAATCTTAAACAACCATGTATATTTTTTCTTTAAACTCAAATTTGTTTAGACTAAGATTAAAAGCACTTTCACAATATTTTATTTTTTACATTGTATTTAAAATTAATTTATAATACCTATTATACCTACTAGTGATATTTTTGTAATATTTTTACCACTATTTGTTTCCTAAAAATTATAATCATTTTTCCTGTTATTATTCTCCTCCTCTAACCAATAAAACAAGTATATCAAAACGCATTTTTTTTATTTTATTTACACCTGTCAACAGCCGACTACCGGAGATAGAGGAAAAAAATAACACATATTAGATCATTTACTTAAAATTAGACGCTATTTTTCATTTTACTTTATGTTTAATCCTGTGTGACTGTACGGGCACTATACCTTGTAGGTTATAGAGCCTTTAAGTTTTACGGTATTTATATTACTTTATAACTGTATAACGTTTGAGCAAGACTACAACGCCAATATTTACGAAGAAAATTAATTTTTAAGGAAGCTAGGCAATGTATAGCTCCATATCAATATTTAAAAAATAAACTAAATAACTTCTATGCGTATTCAACAAAACATAAAAACGTTGTACGTAATGTAACATTATGATTAATTACAAATTTTATTCAGAAATTAAACACAATAATTATAAGTAAATAAAAAAAATATGAGCAGACAAACCCTAATTTAAAAATTAAAAATTGAATAACTTTTAAAAACATGAAACATTTCAAACGTTTTATTGCTAAATTAAGTTTCACAAATATTTCTTCAACTATTTTGATGAGGCACAGCGGGCAACAAAAATCGTACATATTATATCTGAGTTTAAAAAATGTAGATCACACTTTGTTTAGCGCTACGAGATAATAATGTAGTATAGTAACTATACTACATTATTATCTAATAAATTATTGTTATCTAATTTGTACGTTCAGAAAGTACCAGTGGCGAGATCAACTTTTTTGTTTGGGGGGGATATGAAATGTTGTCTATTCTCAGACCACATTTTACATACATTCATTGCTTCATCACATATTTTACACAACACAAATAAGTCAAAGTGTCCCCCACACTCTCCGTTAGGCCACCCTCGTCGCCATTTCGTTAGCACTCCCCTGTAAAGTACACCAGTTCGACTAAAATCCTAGTTTAGAAAATACATAAATGTTTCCTATAAATGATGTAATAATTATATTGTAAACGTGTTACAATAATATTTTATGGCATAAAATATTTGTGTATAAGCCACGCTTTTAAAATTTAAAAAGTTTGTTAATTTTCCAGGAACACGTAGTATAAAAATTTTATTCCAACGATCTATCATCTCTCTACATTTTTGAAAATCGATTGCAAAATTTTACGGCACACTGATGGCTCGTAGTCACTAGTTACTAGAATGGTTTTATAGGTAGGTATAAAAGAAGTCCTACTGGTATACCGGTTTCTGGAACTACTGAGAGTGACATAATATGCAACGTCATGGTGACCACATGCTTATATTTTGGGCGAAAGTCTTACAAGTTCCCCTCACTATATGAGACGTGAGGTTTTAATATTATTAGTAACTTAACGTTTATTTCTTCTTTTGTTTTGATTGAGATAGGTGCCTAATTTGTATTCTTGTATTTATTTACATTTATTGATAACGGTAATTAATGTGATTCATTTCACTGGGTATTATACTATTATCCATCCGGATAATCAAAAAAAAAAACAAATAAAGATAAACAATTTAAATACATGATATCAACATTGGTTTAAAAAATTAATTTAATACACTTTTTTAATACTTTTTAACTGAAATAATGTTTCCAAAAGTCGAAGAGTCAGAGCTAATAAAGAACGAGTTTAGCAGATTGAAAGGTAAGTAATTTTAATGAAACAAACATTACTTTTATAATTATTAGCATAATATACTTTGCCAAGCTTACATTTTTGTTTACTTATCATTAAGTAATTTTTTATATTATATATTCCCAAAGTTCAAAAAAATACGGATTTAATTAAAGTTTATATTTACAAAAAAATAACGAGTGTTGCTTTTTTGCATTGGTTAATGAAGTCTTAACTTTTAACTTTTTCATCAGAAAGTTGTTCGTAACAATATTTATAGTGATTAAACACAACGTTCGCAGAATACTAATATCTAACTATAACTTATTTTCTCTTCAAAATTAAATATTTAAATTCGCTTGAAAATAATATGTATACATTACAATAATTTGACTACATAGATTATATAGGAGTACTGATTGATCAAAATTGAATCTACAATTGCTGGTCGACATAGAACAATTCTTATTTAAATACAATAATTCCTTTATTTTACCCAACAATAAACATTCAGTGATATAACATTATTTTCATTAAAAAACATTTTGATATAATATACGTCATCCAATATAAAATATATAAATATATCAATTACAAGATCCATTAAAAGAGTTTCAGTTATATTATATCCAATCACAATTCGTTTGAGACAATTATTGTAAATTAGTTCATATCAATGATGAGGAGTAATACAACTTGACCTTGGAGTATTACAAGAAATACCGGGTGATTTCTTCAATGTAAGACGGTAGGTAATTATTTAAAAACCACTTTTGAAAGTATTTTTTTTTTTTTCATAATTTTAAGTCGTTAAAAACACATTTTTCTAAAAATAATATATATTTTACCATTTGTCATAGAGCCTATAATAATAATATATACTCGTAACAATAACTATGGTTATAATTTTTTTAATTTTTAACTATTTTTAATAAAAACAGTTACCTATTGTAAATTCCTCATTCTAAAGCAGAATATTTTTTGGAGTAACTAGGTATTTCAATATATAAAATCGAGTTTTTTACGAGTGAAAATATAACGAAAAAAAAAATTAAATCACAAATAGTGTTAATAGTGTGGACTTAATATTATATGAGATAAATATCTACAAAAACGTTTGTGTTTTCTGGTACAAAAAGTGTCTCAAGCTAAAGAATCCCGCTTGATTACATGCATACATACCTTCTACCCAACATAAAATATCCTCTTGATTCATTTATGTTATTGCACCATTAATGTTCCAAACCTATACATAGCAGAAATAACAATTAATCAATAAATGATTCTACCTATTACGCACTGTGTGTTTGTGTGTGTGTCCTCTTATTTCCGATTGATGTTCCAAAATACTATCTATAATAATACATTATAATGTTATACGTCCTACCTGTCCCCAAAAAATTGAGAAATGAAGTAGAAAACACCCACAGTTGCGCCACCTGTCCGGTTTTTATAACAAATTTAAAAATAAAAGTTTACGGAACAATTCACTTAACCAAGATGTTAAAAGTCTGTATAATGTGCGTTAATTGAGCATTATTTTGTTAATATTTTCCCGGGTTAGAGTTTCCTTCAAGTCTTCAACCGATTTGCTCATAAAGTCATCTCCGTTTATTACACACCGGAATGAGTTTCATTATATTTGCTCATATTTTCTCAGGCGTAGTCGGGTTGTTACTTATTACTAGTAAGTGAGTAGTAGCCCAACCGGTACGTTTTAATATAAATTAAATCAATATACCATTATAGTCACACTCAAATGCCGTATACGCTGGACATTTTAATTATTATACACAAATTAGATATTATTTATTCTTCGATCCTGAGAAACACAAATTACGTTAGTCATATACTCCGTTCGACGATATAATAACAACGTTGTTAGGATTTCGTGAATACTCAACCAAAACACTATATTTTGTGCCAAGCTTTTTTGTCTTATACCTACTACCAGTGCGATGTTGTTTTCAAGGAATATGTTATCTGGACCACGCGGGTTCAACGCTGTACGCTGACAGTCAAATAAACAACGTGATGAAAGATCTGAAAACGCACTTGTACGGAAATCCTCATTCAACCGGTGATCCGTCGGCCACTTGTGAAAAACTCATAAATGTTATTCGATTTAAGTACGTAGATTATTATAGTGTATGCGGTTTTGCTTTTACATCAAAAATAGTACAATGTTCCGTCCGTCGAAATAAAACGTAAACTGAAAACTGAAAACTTAAACAGCCGAGGACTCTTGTTCAATACCTGCAGCCGCGTGTCTTGGTATTCGCATAAGACGAATTACCTTACATTATAGCGAGCACCGCAAGTACAAAAACTGTTTTATACATTTGTCATTTATGCGATGGGTAGCTATCACGTAGTGGGTAGGTAGGTGGGCGGGTGGCTGGTATAAAATATACGAACGTCGTAAAACGATGTATATAGAACATGATAATAACATAATGCACTATTATACTATTATGGTTATTAGAAAACGAAGCTCATAACTTACTAATTTTACGCGTTGTACAATAAGTAATAATACTCTTCAAGACTTTAACAACATTTTCATACTTCTCAGCGGTACCTATATTAGTTAATAAATTTCTTTTAGAATAATCTGATGTCAACGTTTAAACGACAAAGGGGATATTGTTCGGTAACGATGTCATTTATTATTACACCAGAATTACAAGTCATCAGTTGTACGAATTTCGGTCGGCGACATAAACAACTTGTGGAGATGACGAAATAGTGTACGGCGAGTACTAGAGACTAGTGATGGGAATAATCGAGAGAAAATAATCGAGTAACTCGATTATTAGGAAAAATAATCGAATGATAACAGTAATTACTAATTATTAATTACTATTTATTAGTAGTTACTAGTTACTAATAAAATACTAGTAATTCGAGTATTATTTTATTCTACTCATCAGTTAATGCTTAGAAACCATATTAATATCTCTAATATTGTAATATCTTAAAAAAGAAAAAATGCTGTTAAAATCTTAAATCCTGTAACCATACCATAACTGTAACTAATGGCCATGTAACTGCCGAGTTTTTTTTCTTGATCAATAAAAAAAAAAAAAAAATAAGTGTAATAATGAATTCGTATTAACCATGTTTTTAATTTTGTATTAATAAGTTGAATATTGGTTGATTTTTAATCAATAATGTTTAATGTTTTGATTATTTTAATCGAATGAATATCTCGACCATGTCGAAATAATATTTCGATTATTTTAATCGAGTGAATATCTCGATTATCGAAATCATTCGATTATTCCCATCACTACTAGAGACAAATGATACGGCGGGACAAAGCTGTTGGAGTATAATATTAAAGTTTGCATTTCGTAAAATTCATTTTTCGACAACGAAGCGGAATACGCTTTACTTACACATGGCTGTGCACACTTTCTTAAAAAGCTTTTACTTAATTCGTTTCATATAATTATTTTAAATCCCTATGAACGTAATCGGGGTGTATTAAAGTCGTGTACTGATATACGTAATATTCTATACAATTGGTATTAAATGTCACGTTTTCTTTAGTTATTGTTGTGAATCATGATAACAATACACAAATATTATATTATTATTATGTCCTATATTTTTAGTGGGTCATGTATAGAAAATATTTTACGTTTAAAAGCTTACACATTTTTTATTGTTATAATCGGTTACTATTTTATGTAATAAAAAAGTTTAATAAATATATATATTACAAAATATAATAGTTAAAATAATTGTACAGACATGACATCACTAGGTAATAATACTATCTTCATGTCAAAGTTTCCAAATGTTAAGGATAATTTTATATTACTTATAATATCAATAATTATGAATGTCATAAAAATTATTTTTATTTTAAGCACTTACCTGATTGTTACCGTGAAAAATTCTGTACCCAATTGAATAAATAAGCAACATTCTCCTATTTCTATTTGGTATATTAATAATTTGTCTTCATAACTTTTCAATGCGATTAATAAGTACTTTTGTTTAATACCGTTAAGTTGTATATTCACTAAAATTAAATCGTTCTGAATACGCCAATATATATTTAAACATTTAAATTGAGAGTGTATATTTTAATTATAAAAGTGCCTATATATTTCAGTATTTCATAATTAATGTTTTCATCAATTTTCTGAATAAATCCAAGTTTTTAATTACATTTCATGTACAGAGCTGTTAATAATTTAGGCGTTCAGCCATCTGAAAATGTCATTTCAGTAAAACATAATATACAGTGATACAAATTTAACAAATAATGATTTGGTTTTAATTATAACTGCATAATTAGTTGTGAATTGTGATACTTAAAATAATACTTGTTTGTTCTTGTTTATTTTATTTTTAAAATATAAAATCGACTTCTACTTAATATAATATAATTTCTTATTGATATTAAGTAGTAGGAAATGAAATGTAATTTATAGTTAAGCCTAGATAACACATTTTCAGTTCAAATCAGGGGAGTATATTTTTATTTTTTATTATTCTACCGAGCATAGGGACAATATGAATGTCATTTAACGCATGTCAGAGACAAAATTAATATCATTTAAGTCCAAATTTAAATGTATACACTGTAATGTACGATTTACATAAATTCAACTGTACTTGGTGATTGTTGTAAAGAGTTAAGACCGTTGGCCACGCTAAAGTGTATGCGGTATGCGTTGAGTTTCTTTCAACATCATTTGAACTAATTAAATTTAAACACCATAATAGTTTACTAATTAGCTACAGACGAGCTAAGTCTATTTAATATAAAATTCACCGTTTACATTGTAATACTCTTTTATTGTTATTGTTTAAGTTGTAACTTTTTAGAACATCATACATTTTCTATTTGATATTCTAAAGCTAAATATTTTTCTGAAAATCGCAATGCAAGAGTGAGTATATAAAAATCAAATTTTTAACGATTATTTAATTAGTTATTTAAAGTTTTGATGATCGGAGAAGATAGTAAAATGTACCCTGAAAAATGTTGTTTTACTACTCAGCTCATCAAAAAAATAAATAGCTAGGTACTAATGATTTATAAAGCTATAACAAATTAACCACCTAGTCGTTAAAAATCCGATTAATAATGATAAATGATTCAATTAAAGTTGATTAAATGTGCATTGTCTCATCTATACGTGTTCATTTCAATTTTTTCAAAACTTTCAATCATATACGTGTTTATTTTATGTGTATAGGTACCAGTTGATAGTACTTTTTTTCGTATGCACGTAACTATTGTCTGAATTTATAATTGATGTAACTATTGTTTAAATTTATAAGTGTAAATGTGTGTTGTTATCAATAAACGTTGTGAGCAGAGAAGCTGAACATGTGGCCATATTTCCACCACTGTTTACGATACTAAAAAAGAGTGGGTAACTATAATATAGAATATCTCTAGTATCAGTAGTATATTTTTGGAGAGTATGCCCAGATCTACATTTTAAAATGTTGTATACAAAAATAATGGAGTAGGTGTAGTTGGGTATTGTTTTGTTTGAAATACTACAGTAACAATAAAATGGATTTCAAGCTTATCAATAATTATGAACTGTTTGGATACTGTAGGGGTGGGCAGGGACTACTTCACAAATTCAGATTGATCGCAATGATATATTTTCTGTCAGTGACAGACTATGACTGTGTCAGCTCATTTCAATAATAGATAATATTCGTTGCCATTGAAGTTACGACCATATAATATAATATAATATAATACAATATAAATCGTACCTACTATAAACTATATAATATTGGTATACCATAACAATTATACTACCATAGTTTCATATTATTATAATCGTTCAACAGTGCGTTAATAACGGCATGATTGTTTTCTGTCTCTTCCCCGGCCAGGGTCCTCCAACACTTCAACACGAGACCAGAAAAGTACAGCGTGGTATTCACGTCGGGTGCCACCGGAGCGTTGAAGACAGTGGCCGAATGTTTCGCGTGGGACAACGAAGACGATGACCGACTAGTGGGTGAGCTCCACGACCTCTCTTGTATTAAATAATGACGATAATCGACCAATAAAAACTCAGATATTATACAATAATAATGTGATTGGGTAAAGCTCGTACTTGTGTCATTATCTAAAAACTGTTTACTAGTCTTACGCAGTAGAAAAATCCAAAATGTACAAGACTCAAAAGAATTATTTTTTTAATATTTATTCGATTGGATTTACATGCATATTTTATAATAAATTATACAGTGAGTTTTTTTGATAAAATATATAGGTTCGTTTTGTTAATTAATAACATTATACTACGAGATTGGAAGAAAAAATGTATTGTTGGTCAATTCTTCGTGATCAATATCAAATCATAAACTCGAATTCAATTTTCCAAGCTTTTAGTCGACAAAAATTACACTGATCGCAAAATTATTTACTAAAATAAATAGTTTATTCCATAAAAGTAGATAGGTAGGAAGGTCAGGTATACCATAATACATTTTTGATATTATATTATACGCATATTATTTATTGGTAACTTTTAAAAAAGCACATTATCTTAAAATGTTTGTTACGTAATTCCTTATTATTGAGCCCCGCGTAAGATCGTTATGTAAACCTTCGGTTGTCCAAGTTACTATCGCAGTTAATTAGCGGCAATCAAACTCATTTCCTATGCTAGTGGTAATTAATTTCTATAAAAAATTATAATTTTCTGATATCAGTCGGTGGGACCATTAGCATTGTCAAAATGGTAAGGTATGAATATCTATCAATTATATTATTATACGAACAACATTTACTTGTTTTCGTTAACAAAACTCTTCTACTGAATGTTTAAAACGTTTGTGTTCCGATGTCTGAGTATCATTCTCTCAACTCAGATTCAGTTTACCGTTCGAGGGGCAGCACCTTCGCGTACACAGAAGACAATCACACTTCAGTGTTGGGCATGCGAGAGTTGGCCCCAATGGCACATCTGCTGTGTCTAACTCGAAACGAAGCTCACGAGGCTCTGGACAAGATGCCTTCGTCTGCAGAAAAAGATATTTCGGTTGTGGGTTCCAGAAATTCGCTGTTCGCTTTCCCAGCTCAATCCAACTTTGCTGGCACGAAATATCCTCTTGAATGGATCGAAACGTGCCAAAAAGGTGCTCTTGACCAGTATACTGGCAATCACGTCAAGTCCAGGTAACCAAAATCAATCAAAATACCCATAAAATAATGATAATATGTATCTTATATTTTATTACTGGTGGATTTAAGTCGACACAGCAAATATAAATTTTTTTCAATAATTGTAACGATCTACTCAAGGAATAAATTATACATGATGTGGAACAACGTTAAGCATAATTTGGCTTAAAAAAATATTATTTTACTCTTCGCTTAATACATTTTTATTTATCAAAAACAACTATAGTCTATGTAACTATACATGATTTATTATAAAATTAAATAATCACTTAAACACCCATAGTTCAATAAATTATACAATAATATACATATTATTGATATTACGAGTATACACTCTTAACATAATTCATGTGATGAAGCATAATTTATATTATTTTTTGATTTTTGATTTTACCAAATTTCACAATATAATTCAGTGAAAAGTAAAATCATTTTAAATAATGAGGTTTGACAGATTGTACTTTATAAATACAATACCAAGTCGAAAACCTTAATGAAATTATATTTTACAATACACAATCCGTATGTAATATTTGAATTCGGGATTTTAATTATTTGTACTAGAGTTAACTGTAAAAATAATTTAAGACTTCAAATTATAGCCTACACTCTAGAAATCTATACCATCTAAAATATAGATCGTTCACTACCAATTTGTTTTTATGATCTGATCATCTGTATATAATATAATATAGACTTCTGTTTTGACACAAACTTAGTATATTACATATTATAATTATTTATAACTTGTCTTGTATTACCTACATTAATATCGATATAATTGCTTAAGATATAATGTTATAACCTCTGTTAGATGGTTCACTGTTCTGGACGCCTCCTCTTACGTGCCCACTAACCACCTGGACTTGGACAAATATTCACCGGACTTTGTCACTATTTCGTTTTACAAAATGTTTGGTTATCCAACCGGTCTGGGAGCGCTGTTGGTCCGTAATAAAACAGCCATGTCGGTACTCCGTCAAAAAAAATATTTTGGTGGCGGCACTGTTGAAGTGGTGCTTGCACACAATCGCCATCATGTGTTGAAAACAAATTTCCATGAAAAGTAAGACCCTATTATGTATTAAAACTATATAGTTTAAAAGCAACGAGTATATTACACTTATTTATTTCATATAAAAGTTTAAAACATTTTTTTCAATTATTATTATACGTACATCCCATTCATCCTCAAACTTTCTTTTTTTGTTTTTTCAATACCTAATAATTAAACGCTGCACTTAAAGGCACGCTTTGGAATGTACCCACACATATATACGCTCTGAGTGAGTACACATCTGCTGCAGGTTCGAAGACGGCACGGTGGACTTCTTGTCAGTGATCGCGGTTGGCCACGGACTCGACACTTTGCGATCGCTGGCCGGTCCGATGCGAATGGTGGCCGGGCGGACGTTCAGACTGGCCGCGTACCTGTACGACCGGATGTCTGGGGCGCGGCACGGAAATGGATTTCCTGTGTTCCGGACGTACGCGGACACGGTGTACCAGTGCGAAAGCACGCAGGGTGGTATCGTTAACTTCAACGTGCTAAGGGCCAACGGCGAATACGTCGGCTACAACGAGGTCAGTTAAAAAACCGTGTGAAGTTTCTGGCGACTTTGCAGCTGTCTATCTGATTGTTTTAGTTTTTTCATTACGCTGAAAATAATCGTGGAAATAAATATCCCCACTATTCGTTAGAATAATGGGATAAATGTTATAGTTAAATATTTAATAATGATTAGGTATTAATTCGGTGACCATATTATTATCATATTAATGGTAGGTTCGTGTCATATTATGATGACGAAAATTTTGTTTTCATCTATATATGTAGTCCATAATAAGCGTACCGGTGGAGTGTAAGTTTTTTTAACTGCAGGGGGGATATGAATTTTTGACTGTTCTCAGCCCTCGTCATATTAGAGCAGTAAAAATACTTTCATCGTTTTATCATATATTTTAAATGACATAAATAATCCAAAGAGGCAATATGACACCCTCGCCGTGAGAACTCCAATGAGGCATATTTCTACACGATAAAACTTAAAACTATATGAGTTTTTAATATTATTTCTAATACTACATTTCACTATCTATCAGATATTTTTGTTTTAAACATTATAATAATTATTATGTGACTAATATAGTTTATCAACTGTGGTTATTATTAAAGTCTCATGTATTTTAATAATTTAAAGAATGTTGCAAAAGCCATTCTCGAATTTCAAAGACTGTATTTATATTATTGTGAAAATTGTCATACAAAACTGTGGGAATTACAAAATAAAAATTATTTTATAAAGTTTGTAATATATTCAAAGATATTCAATGACAACAATTCGATAGTAATATTTTTTTTATCGAGAGTTTTTTGAGAATGTCAGCGGTCACTTCATTAATGCAGTTGTGATCTGGACAGCCAAGGAGGTCACAAATAAAAATATACAGGGTGTCCCTTGAGGATATACCTGGAGGAAGACTCGCCGACCGGGTAAAAATCGGTTTCTTGCCGTTTTACGCATACACTAAAAAAGTGATTAAAATCATGAAATCAATGAAAATAAAATATTGGAAGGTCAAAATTTTTAGAAAAACAAACTCTGAAAAATAGATTAAAATCTTAAATTGTTTCAAAAATAAAAAAAATTTTTTTATTTTTTTATCAAAAAATTTAATTTAATTTAAAATATATATTATATATGTGTTGTCCTTCTCTGTGAGTCTAATAAAAAAACAGATTTATGATATATTTATTATCTCGGAAGAATCGCAATAGGTAAATCCTCAAAAGACACTCTGTATTTTATAAGCATATATTTTTTAACTTAATACGATTGGTAATATTTTATAATTTACCGCAGCTCTGTATACTTAAATTTTACAGTATTAATACAAGTAGGTATTTTAAATCCGGGAAAAACGTTTGTTGCACACTGTAGGTAGAGGTACCTACCTATTAAAATGTAAAACGATAACACATCCTCCGCCAAGTAATACCAAACGCTAACAACGCAGTGATTCAACTGTAAATAAAAATATAATGTAAAGATAAAATTATTATTTTTACACTGTATATCAGTATAATGTATTTTTATTACTACGATTCGAATTTCCTTAAGCGTGTATTATTGTATATTTATATAGCAGGTGCCTATATTCAAATATTCAATAAACTATATTTTATTTTTTATTTAACAATATCGCAATTATAATTTAGTTAAATATAAAAAAATCATAGATCGAAATTATTTTAGTTCGATTCATTCTTAGTTCTAACCTGTAAAATTTAAATTAGTTGAATTATTACTGTGTAGTTAAAAACTATCACTCTGTATACGCAAATATTTTTCAATTGCTTCAATCCCACTTATTATTACCAGATAAGAATAATAACGCAGTTTCTATACAAAACGTGAGTAGTTTGAAATAGGTAGTAAACAATATTACACGTTCGATGCAAAAACACTACAAGCAAACTTCTATAAATTGCAGTATTGGTAAGTTATACAATGTTTCAATGTCTGAATTTGATAGCGTAGATTTTTATTGATTGTAAATTCATTTTTATTCTAACTATCGTAAACAAAACCATTAAAATTAAATAATTAGTATTAAATCTAATCGTATTTGTATAAGTAGGTACCTACCTACTTATACAATTTTTATACGTATTCTCTGAGTTTAAATATTTACATAATGTTATTTGTTTTTCATAAATCCATAAAACAGTTAAATATTTCTCAGTAACATCAAATAACGGGTCAGTTACAAACGTAAATGTTTTCTTTCATTAAAACGTCATTTCTACAACATCCAAATTACCTACATTAAGTCAATAAACCGCAAAATATACTGTAGTTTTACTAATTTAAAATTTAAAATTACCTAGTTATTTTATATTCATTCGAGTAGTGTGAGGACGTTCAATAATGATAAACCTAATACCTATTGTTTGTTTAATACATCTACAAAAACTACATACATAGTTAGTTCTAAATATTCACGGTTATAATAACTTAAATAAAATAACAATAATTGTTGATCAAAATGTATAATCATGTATGATTATGTAATTTAATATCGTATTTAAATAATATTTATTTTTTATATTTAATCCAAGATGTAGAATGTATTTACAATATTGGCAAATCTGAAACTCGATAAGAGGAATTGGGGTGGAGAAAATTAATTTTTCAAGACGACACTTAATACGGCGCCCACTCTTCAACCCATAAATTAATCAATTCTTTTTTTTCTTTAACAGCGCAGTTATACACATTATTACTGTTATTTGATGATTAATTATTTTCGTTTGAACCTATATTATTACTTATTAATAATACAATAAAAATACTTTAAAAATATACCAAGGCCCACCTATTCCTAAGGAAGGATGAAACGATCCTATAGGTATAACATTGTATGATACCTATTTACAATAATTGTGTTGTGTGTTTTGTTGTTATCATAAGACAGTATTATATATATAGTATCATACAGTATTCAAACCATTATCGTTTACAGGTAAAAAACGTAGCCAGTAGTCACGGTATAGTGCTCAGAGTAGGTTGTTTCTGCAACCCCGGGGCGTGTCAGAGGCATTTGGGTCATACAGACCAGGAATTGAGACGAAACCAAGAAGTGGTGTGAGTGTTCACAACCGATTCGATGCAATATTATTGCCACTTGATGGCTGTATTACATCATCACTAATATTATATTATAATTTCATTATTATTTCAGAGGCCACATTTGCGGAGATCACATTGATCTTATTGACGGACGGCCGACAGGATCAGTGCGGGTTTCATTTGGCTACCAGTCGAACGAATCGGACGCTGATACACTTTACAATACGCTTTTTGAACAATTTTGGCAGAAATATCCGGTCAGACCCATCGACCGGCAACAGAACACAGTCGACGAGTATTGGCCTATTATTAATTAATTGAAATCAGTTGGTGATCAGTAGATTTTTTTGGGTGGAGAGGGGGGGGGGATTCAAATTTTTTAAATTAATAGATTTTCTTTATTTTACTAAGGTTAATAAATTAAGAAAGTCAATTTAGAGGGGGGTGGCTTGAACACCCAAAACCACTGCCTGGGCATGCCACTGATTGTTTGAATACGACATATTTTGATATTCCGCAGAGTACCTACCTATAATCAGATGGTCCACCCGCGCTACCCCTAAATTCACAGAAATTGTTTTCTGATTATTGAATACATCTTTTGTATACAATAAATAGGGATTATGGAGTACCTAAACTTTTCCTAAATAATTGTTACAGTTTACAACTTTTGAAATCTTAAATCTTAAATCTTAAAGACGTGTCCTGATAGCTAGCCGCGTTCCTCTTCCTCAAAAACTAAAAACTGCAATACTTTTAAATAAACAATAGATAGGCGTCAAAATAAACGTTCTTCGTATTATCACTTATCAACAGAAGTTAAACATACCCAGTGCCCGATTGGCTAAAAATTTCAGCCCGGTAAATTCCAGATATGCTCTCTCAATATATTGTAAATATCCGTAAAAAACGTTTTTATTTTATGAATTATCTTATTTATAGTTTAATACCAGTATGCGTTCTTTTAGACCACCTAAATTACCAACTAGATTCATTTTCCTACCAAAAAAAATGAAGAAATAGGAAATCGAAGTATTTTTACTGTCACAAAAAGTGACAAACAGTCACAACAACTTTTTTCTGTTAAAACACACCACTATAAATTCAATCCGTTCATCGTTTATTCGAATATTATAACATTTTTGTCACATAAATAAGTTCATGTGTACTAAGTACTATACTTAGTACACAAAATAACATTCAAAATCGTAATATGAATATACAACAACTAAACAACGTAAATATGAAGTCAAATGTTTGTAATAATTTATAATCCAAGTACATCGGCCCAGATGTATAATATGAAGATCGAATAACCGGTATCCCGATGGGCCAATCCGTCACCGATGCGTACCTATGTATTATATAATATAACTAGGGCTGTGAATTTGATGCGCTAATAAAGAACCTTAAAAAACGTCAACAAATTCAATGTAAAATGCCAAAAATTATAGTATAATATTAATTTTAAATGGTTTTTAATTTAATTTAATTTTCATATTTATATTAATATTAGGTACAGGATATTATACATTAGTACATCACATGTATAAAAATGTGTTTATTAAGTAAAAAAAAAAAATAATAAAAATGTTAATTGAATTTGAATTTTCTATAATTAATGTTATTCGCCTGACACATTTTTTAAAAATTTTAGAAATAAATAACTTACAAATAATATGTAGTTATTTAGTGATTGCCTTATTTTATCGACGTATATACAGCCTATGTACTAAAAAACATTTGTTTTCAAACTTGTTTTCCGTCAATTGACGGAATTTGATTAAAAATACAAAAAAAAATGACCTAAACAATTCAAAATAAAAGTTGCATAAATGGATTCGTAGTTACATAATTTAAATTATGCACTAACAAAGCTACGTTTCATAATCACCAAAAAAAAATGAACTTTCCTACAAATTCACAGCCCTAATTATAACAATTCGATTGCAGGTACAATAAGATGGATTTGCAAGTGTCAAAGATTTTTGTTTATCCGATCAAGTCTTGCGGAGCATATGAAACGAAGGAATGGCTATTGGAACCATACGGTTTTCAATACGACAGAAGCTGGGCGGTGGTCAGTGAGACAGGAGTGTGTATAACGCAAATGGAAGAGCCAAAACTCTGTCTGGTGAAGCCTTATATCGATTTGCAAAGAGGAACCATGACTCTGGTATACGCAGGTAAGACATAGATATTGAAACAGCCGTAGTGCGTGTGAGCCTATAAGTACAAAATAATTTACTGATGCTTAAAATCTTTCCATTTCTATACCAGAAAACAAAGACGAAATTCCGATGGAAGTTCCACTGGATACGAAACTCGATGCGACCAAGAGAACGGGAAAAATCTGTTGGGGTGGATCTTTGGAAGGAATCGACTGTGGAGACGAAGTGGCCGAATGGCTCAGTTGGAACCTCGATCGGCCAGGGTTAAGACTTGTTTGGTGCACCGGCCGCAATGCGTCTCCAAAACAGTATGGTAATAACTAATACATCAACTCGATTTCCAAGTCGAACAAAATGAAAGCATTGAAAATTGACTTACCTAATCATTACACGGAAACGTGCTCGTTCCATTTCATTACATTTTAGTTAGGTTACATCTATATGGTACAGGGTGATTCACCATATATATTATAAGCATGTTCATCCCGCTTTGAACAACAGAAGTTTGTTTCACAAAAGTCTACTTCTTGAGAATAGTGAAAAAAAATTCAAGAAATTGAAAATAATGCTTCGAGTGAATTTGAATAAATTCATCTTTAAATTAAAAAATGGGGGTGAGCATGCTTGTTGACTCGCCCTATTATACAGTCAATATATTCTATTGTTTATAACAAACATACACAAACCTACGCCTATTACCGAATAATATAAAATAAATAATGAAAGTAAATTATTAAAGTGATCAGTCATTGGTGGCGATTAATTATTTTAGCCAAAACATCTTCCATTCTACTGATCGACCTAGTAATGTGATGATACTTTTAAAATTCGTTATTATTTCTACCTACTTAAAATCATTCGGTAAACTTTTCCCAATTTTTTAGGTTTTCAGTTTTTTTTTTTGGATTGAATATTGTAAAGTTTAGGAATTTTCAAATATTGATTATTTGGAATTAAAATCAAAAATCTTAATATGTGGACTGACTGATCTCAAATAGACATAATATAAACAATTTAAGTCCTTTCCTCATGTGTGAAACAAATTTAAAACGTAATTTATGGATATGGAAATTTTTAGTTATATTTTTTTTAACTAAAGGACCTAATATTAATTTTTTGAATTCATGGTATGGCACATTGACCCCGCACTCTAGATCCACTCCTGATTTATACAGACAATATTTATTTTAAAAACTCCAGCTTGAGGAGTATAGTTAAGCTATAAATCCTTTGAAGAAACATTAAACAATAGTAAAGAAATAATAATAATAATAATAATAGATAATCAGGCATTGGACTGATTACAACTATTAATTTTAATTTTATGGACCTTAGGAAAGTTAGATCCAAAGGTAGTGGGTGCTAACGAATGTCAATATCTATTGTCCACGCAACCAACGCTCAAGTGGTTACAGCAAGAAATGGCAAACTCGATAGCGGAAATAGTAAATATAAAAAATCCATTTTATTAATAATATTAAAAAATATATTCATATAATACTACCTAAAATATATTGTAAAATTTGTACTATTGCTAACGACCATAATAATACATCACATTATTAGGATGAAGATAGTCTGTTACTTCGATTCCGAGGTAATTTTTTGATTTCTGGCAACAATCTACCAGCCCACGCCGAATTAACTTGGGACCAGTTGGACATTGGAGGAGTCAAATTTCAAGTACGACAGACCATAATTATTATTATAATATCTATTATATATTTTGTGTATTTCTTTTTACTCGAATTGTGATATCATAATTGTCACATTTTTTCACAGGCCGCTTCGGCTTGCGAAAGGTGCAAAATGGTGAATATCGATCAGGATACATCGGAGAACATTTATAAGCCAATGTCCATATTGTCTCAACACAAGTGGCAAGGCAAAATTGTTTTCGGAATCTATATGAATCGCGAAGATACGGAAAAATGTAAAATACGAGTGGGCCAAAAATGCACTGTCATTAATAAAAAATGATTTGTCAAAGAATATACCTAAATATAATACAATATAATATTATCGTTTGAACTTAAAATTAACAAACTTACAACACGGCAATCTTGTAAATGCCACAGAATAAAATAATCAATCATAACCTAACCTTGCTATGCTCAAATGCATGGGCCCACACAAATTGCCTCCAAAATCTAGATACAGTGTGGCCTTTTTTTTCACTTCAATTTTACACCCAAACTGTAGGGGTAATTAAACTGCCTCCCATATGTCGACAGCATACCCAAATTATATTAAAGTGTAAATTTTTTATTATTATTTAGGTTTGTAAAATCAAAATAAAACCTTGATAAAGTAGTCGAGCAAATACAGGTTACCGTCACATTAAGTCGTGGTATTGGTGGTTAGGTGACAGGAATGGGCTGTCAGAAACTTCTGTTTTTATTATGTGACTCGTCAAACCATGAAAAATGTCAATCAAAAAGTACTGACCTAGAATCGGTGCAGGAGGCGCATGAACTTAATCCACGCTCGACCATCGCCCTTGTTTTTAGAGAATCCACATTTTCCTAGTTTTTTTTTATAAAAATTGATCACCCTATATTTTTTATCAGATTGCGATAAAAAATTGCACCCATTTTGTAAAAATATTTACAATCTTTTTTTATATTCGAAGGGTCGAAATGTCAAATAAATGGAAATGTAAATAGTTATTATAGGTAATATTATAAATAATAACACCTATTTTGAATAGGTACTATACTATCATATTACATATTATTATACACGCTACGCTAGTCTTAAATACCTAAATAATATTATAGTGACTATTGTATTATATTTAATTATAGATTTGTTCATAAATTTCTGTTTCATAGCTCAAACCCATTGGGCATCATAGGAAACAATATTAAATCTGTAAAATGGCTTCTAGTGTTTTGATTAAAAAAAATCATTAAATTATCTTCAGAACACCCTTAAGTAGTACAAAAAATCTCAAGAGTTTGAAAATATGGCCTTAAAGTATATTTAAAAATTTAAAAATCAGATTTTCGAATTACTGCATTATTGAAGAAAAAATTGGGTGAGCATACTTGGTGGATCACTCGGTATATAATATACAGTTTTTTCTATCATCTAGTGCACATGTGTAATGAACAATGTACCACCTTGATCAGCGCCCTCAAATGTGGACTCCGGAACTACAACCACATCCTGTCTATTATTAGTATAAGGTCTATGGTAAAACCTAAAAATTAAATTTGTTCATATATCAGCTTTTGGCTTTCAACCACAGATGTGTTAAAAGATGTACCGTAAAGGAGGGCTCGCCATCAGGACAAAAACCGGTTTTTTGTCGTTTTACCAATAAGCTTTAAACAAGAACACATTTTTTAACTTTCTTAACAAAAAATGTAATTAAATTAAAAAATTAAATATAGGTAGTAATTGTCTCTGTAAATCTAATAAAAGAACAGATTTAAGATACATTTATTGTCTCAGAAGATATTATCGCAATGAGTAAATCCTTGTCGAGAAATAATCCACGGAAAAAAGTCACATTAAAATAAATATACATATAAACAAATTAAATTAATATGTTATATTGTTATTTTTAATTTTGAACACAGTCGGTTATAATATTAAGTTATTCAAATATTTAATGTTTAATTTTTTATACACAGGTTTTGTTGTTATTTATTATAAGTTATGATAACAACACCACGTTTAAAGATATCTTTACAACATTGTACAACGTATTAAAACATTTTTCGTTGATATAGTGCAGTAATTAGTAATACCAAGTAATATATGATACACAAAAATAATAAACGATATACGTAACGTATGGTGCTACTGCAATGAAATTAAAATGTAAAAAACAAATGTCAATTTTAGAAGAATAAAATAAATCAAAAACAGATCAATAAAAACGTATTGTGTGTACTACTGCAGTTAAACATTCTGGTAATGTTGT